ATCTGCACTGGCTCATATCACCAACTACAGCCAAACTCAGAAGTTTTAGCAACTTCCCTCTATAGAGCATACCTATAGTGAAGAGTCCCCCCTTTCCCATATGACACTGCACAGATACCCTTCCTCCTCCTCCTCCTCTCTAACTTTTGAGTCATAGAGTGTGCAGACAGCAGCAATGACTTTCACATAATTGATAGAAAGAATGCTTTCCTCGTACTGACTTCACTGTTTCGGGTACCTTGATTTAGTAGGAAACATCTGACGTCCTGTTTAGGAAAGTTTTGCTAAAAATAACTGCCATATCAGATAAATCTGATTTTTTCTTTTTGTCGCTAATACGCTCCCTCACATTCTGAGCTCTTGCTGCAAGCACTGCTTTGACTGTTATAAAAGAGAAATGGGTCAGGAGATAAAAACATTCAGTATTAAAGAAAAAGCCCAACATCTGTTACAGTTTACCTGTAGATTGGCAAGTCTGGTCACTCAACAGTGCAGCCAAACTGGTGAGCTCTCCTGCAGCGGTTGTACTTACTCCACTGCTAAGAAATTATTATTAGAAATTGTTGCCATTAAGAAATTAATATTTTCCTTTTTATTCAACAGCACTTTTGAAAGTCAAGGAAAGATTTATGGCAAAGCTTCTAAGACAGGGTAAATTACTGGAATCCTCTAAAAGCAAAAGAATTAATACTGGCTGATGATCTGCCCCTGTAGTTGCACCACCTGGATGCTGAGCTGTAAGACAGAGCTCTGTCTGTCTTTTCTGAGATTTGCCACAATTAAGCAGTCCAAAGATCTTTCAAGTTAAAACTTGGGTATCACTAATGAGGTTTTAGTTTTCCTCCAAGTGCCTTTTCCTTGGTGACAGTCAGAAGGATATATTTGGATTCACTTAAGAACACAACCCTGCTGCTTACTAGGAGGTTTCTGGCTCCAGCCCTGCTGACTGGCAGGGAGCAGACCTCGGGGAGGGGACGGGACTTCTGCTTTCTGTAGGGCTTCGCACTCGTCACGGGGATGCTGCTGTGGTGTCACGATTAAAAAATGTTGGCTTTGCTTTTGTTGGTCAATACTGCAGAATGATTCCTGACATTTCTGCTGTGCATTTTGGGCAAAATCTGTTTCAGTCTTGGACTGTGTTCTTAATTGAAAAAAATGCCTTCCATCTAAAGAGCTTAGTTAAGATTATATTTGTTCAATGTATTGCTTTGTTCAAGGAAATCTCAAAAAAGGATTAGATGTGAGTATTAAGTTTATCAAGCAGGCCTGTGTCTGGATTAGATTATAATTGTCTTCCATTCAGTTAACTCAAATATTTTCCTGATCGCTCATCGAGAACATTACGTTTTCCCTTCATCTTGTGGTTTCCTTTTCCTTCCTTGTGGCTGGAACTCTAATTTTTCTTCTGATAAAAGCTTGTGGCTTTCATTTAGTTTGCTTACACTAACTGAACAGCACACAGACACTGAGCTGTTGTCAGCTTAGTAACTACGAAATAAATCCATGCATAACACCTAAATACATACATGGATATGGGCATACATAAGCATCAGAGTACAATGTTGTAATTAATTCACTTAATACCTGGATCTGGATAACTGGAACAAAGCAGCTGGAACCCAGTGACTGACAGTGGTTACCATTCAAACGTCATGATTGCCATTTTATTTACACCAGGGCTGCTGGAGTCCTGCAAGCGAGGTAGGGCAGGGCAGGAGTCCTGCTTCTGAGCTCAAGCCAAGGCATATAACCCATGAGGGCTGCCCAAGCCATTGGGAAACACTAGTAATGCTGAGTGGTCACTGCAAAGGAAACTAGTTTTCGTCACTCACTTGCCCTCAGGCTGTGGTGGGGGAGCAAAGAAAGGAGTGGGACAGAAATTCAGGGCGATGCATCTAACAACTGACATTTCTGCAGATCTAGAAAGGAGCATAGACCTTGAGACCCTCCATGTCTGACTTCTACGAGTCTTTGTCTCTAAAAGTGAATATCCTATTGGGGAACAAAATGAGTCTGAGTGGAATTATGTAAGTACGATAGAAAAATTCTGGGATTGTGGTCCTCAAGCAATTGGGCAGAGCCAGCTAGTTCATTCTTCCAGCCTCAAGCTGTTTAGTTTGTTTAGAATTGTTTGGGTTTTTTCTAGGATAGTGGCAATATTAGATGAGTTTTCTGCTGAATTCATTGTCAGTGTAGGTTAGGACTAATTAGAGTCTCGCTGTCAAATTATATCTCTGAGAGGACTGAGTACCTGCCCCCTGCCTAATTTATGACTCTCCATCAGGGTTAGGTGAGAAGTGGGTGCCAAGATGCAAGGGTCCTGAGCACACACAGTAGCAGAACCTGGAGAAATTTACTGGCAAACACGCTAGGAAGACGATCAACTTGGAAATAAGCAGCAATTTTTTTCCTGAGACTGGTTTTATTATCAAATACTGTATATTATTTTTTGCAAGCTTTTGCATCAAGCTGTGACCTGTGCAAGCATTTCAGTTTAGCAAACTGGAACTGCTTATTTCTTCTGTATGTCATCAGTGATAATATGGAATAAGACCAGATACGAAATGAATTGCTGCTTTGTCCAGGAGGCAGACTCCAGACCTGTGTCATTGTTCTTTGTTGATGAGCCAGTATTGCTGGACTTAGTGATACCATTGCCATTTACAGCAAAAGAATTTGGATTGAGCTTTGGTATACAATTCACATGATACTGTTGCAATCCAGGGCAACTGCAATTTATTTTAAGTTGCAAAGTTTTCTAAGACCTTTGTTTAAATGAATTTACAGCAGTCTTCATCTATGACATTTTCTGTATTTTCATTTCTTCATAAATTTTGCATTCCCCCAATAATCTTCATTTCTTTTTCCCTGTATACTTGCCCTTCTTCTTCACTGTGTGTTTATTTATAGCCACTAAGATTCCAAGTACACCTTTCTGGATCAGTCTGGAGCTTTCTCATAAATATATCACACAATATCACACAAGTAATAATATAAAATGTTACATATTCCAGGCAGAGCAGATGCTGCAAATGAAATCACTGATGAAAAAAAGCGCCTGGGAATACAGGAATTTTTTTCTTCTTTGTGATACATAAAATCTGCTTCATGAGTGAAGAATAGTATCTGCTTCATGCTTCATGCAACTTTCAGCGATGCCTTGGGCAGCATTTTTAAATATGGATACCTTCTGGTCATCTTCCAAAGTCAGCTTGCTCAAACAAAAGCAATATTTAAATGGATAGATTGGAGTTTGAATGTGTAAAAAAGTGGTTATTTTCTTTTGGAGTCTTGTGCATTGTATGCAGGATGGGTTTGGTGTTTAAGCCAGTTTACCAGGAAATATCAACAAAATTACCATTTTGATCCAGCTGGTTCTTTTCTTCAGCATAAGCAACTCTGGAGCAAGTCTGCCCCATTTGTGCTGCTCTTTGGTTAAACTACTCTTGGGGGACTCCAGACTGCTGGACTAAAAGGCTAATGAAAGCTTTTATATAACAGTAACTGTATGGCATTTGTTTTTTATAGCTCGTAAAGATATTCAGATTTGCTTTTTTTTTTCTTACTAATTGTTTTTTTGGAAACCTTTGTTTTGAACAGAGCTGTCATAAATAGGCTCAGCAGCCAGTAAATCCATTGGGCCCTCTGCAGACTAGAGAAACATCTGCCTGTTCTGCCATGCTCAGAAGGGGTTCCAGAGATTCCCCTGACTCAGACAAAATGAGAAAATGTACTTCTCTGACAAGCTGAAGTAACCCACTTAATTAAGCATTATTCACTTCCAATCAAGTCTCCTCCCATTCCTACTTTATTTCAGCCTCTATCTGATTTTTCAGCTGGCTCTAAATACTAATTTACTCGCTTCAGTTATATTTAATATGGTTTTAAAGCTGCGGACCTGGATGCGGTCCTGGTGCCTGCCTGTGAATCGCTTGTGAGACAGACCTGAACTTCCTGTTGTTTGTGCCGAAACTGCTAAGATTGTGTTTTTCTGTTTCACAAAAGGTGCTGAGCGCAAAAAGATTTGTAGTGTTTAGTAACAGGATATCATCGCCCCAAATTTAATCCAAATTAAAACAACAAAAAAAAGTTGTCATTAATAATTTACTGTTCAGATGAGCTGAGTAATAGTTTTTATGTTTTGCTTTGGTCCTAAACAGACAACTTGGGAAGAAGCTAACCCTTTTTTGTTGGGTTTTCTTTTTTCACTTCTTGGAAGGGTGATTGTTTCTTGAATAAAGTTTTATTTGTACAGTTTTTTAATTTGGTTTCTTGAACTTTGAATAAGAGGTGAGCATGGGAAGTATCAGTTTTCTAGCTGTGAGGGTGGGTGGATCACTGATGACAGTAAGGACTTTTTTTTAAAAAGCTACAGAAAAGAAAGCTTTGACTGTTCAGAACTATTTTAATGCATTCAGTGTTCTTTACAGACTGGAAGTGATGAGTACGCTAAGTTACAAGTGCCGATTTCTAAGAATGGTTGGTGCAAAATTGTGTTGTTAACACTGGACTGCAAGAAGGTCTAAGAGCAGGTGCTTTTGGGTCATCTGGCTATAATAGCCATGAAAAAGAAAAAAAAAAAGAAATAGACTTGTTTGTTTTAAAGATAGCCCTCTTATGAGTAGATTGCTGACATAAAAGAGAAAGGTGACAAATTGAAGAATGAACTTGAAAATGTTCTAGTGGGAAAATTCCATCTAGGCTCAATGAAGATTTTTGTTTAGTTTTTAAGCATTAGTTAAATCATTTCCTATGACCAGCATTATTTCAGCAATCAAGGAACTGAATATCCTTTACTACAGTTGAGTAAACTCTGAAAATCAATCCCTTGGACAGCTGAAGATGTCAAATAAATATGTAATCATGCAATCTGGTTGCGTTCTAATGCTGGTGAACAAACAGCTTAAGGGCTTAAGAAGTACTGCTGTTCACTACAGGCTTATTTTTTATGTGATATGGGCTGCATTGCTAATCAGATGTGGTATGTTTCTGTCTTTCAGATTTACCACTGGATTATAGATTTATGCGATTTTCCTCAAATAGCTCAGCAACTGCTGGGTACTACCCAAGCCCTCCAAGAGCACTCCTGCCAAATGAGGAGTCAGTGACTATGAAATAAGTTGTCGGCTTTTTCCTTAAATAACCCCGTGGTCCTTACTTAAACTGCTATCGAATGCTAGTTGATGAAAATGCTGTGTGATGCTTCATAAAATAGAATGACGGATTAAAGCAGACTCCTGTGTAGACTTGTGTTTCACTTGTTGCTGTAGTCCAGCTGGAAGAGGTGAGCAATGCATCCTTCTCTCTAAATCTTCTGACCACCGCTACCTTTCGCAAAGAGCTATTGGCTTTTTCTGTGCACTGCCCAAAGCCTTCCAGAGAAATGTAATAGTAATAACTCATCCCAAGTTACATTCTACATTTTCAAGGACATTTTCAGTACTATGCCTATGTACGGTGACGCTGTTGCTACCGTAAGCCCCAGGAAAGGCATGAACCAGACCCTCAGCCATATTTCATTCAGAATTACCTTGGGCACCTTAGGTTATCACAATAGATCAGTGTTTTGCAGGCTTGGAGGAATTTATTCCCTCACTGTAACTGTTCATAGAGATACAGAAATACTGAGGCCCAAAGAGAAAAATGCATCATACCCAAAAAGAGACTTGAATGGGATTTAGGCAACTAAATGCACACTGATAGTCCTGAAAGCCTTTGTCACATGCTTCGTATTCCTGAAAGTGCCTAACCACTATTCAACAGTCAGGTTGCCTACATGCCTTTTCCTTCTTTAGTCTTCAAAGCCTCAAGAGTCAGAGCTCTTCTGCGGAAGGAGGGAAACCTGTGTACAGTTCCCTTCTCAGCTCTCACATTCTCCACCTTCCTGGGAAATCCTTCCAAGAGTAGGAAGGATATAGCACCCGGCTATATAGAGCCATCTTTGCTAAGTACAGCCTCAGCCCAGAAAAGAAGCAAGACCGAAGACATAAACTGAGTATGTGCTTTTTTATCAGGTAATTTAAGCAAACAGGCATCCTGTTCTTTGTGGATTCGGTTCCAAAAACCCGTTTTCCAGCGCTTTGGACAGGAAGCCTTCACTAACTAACACAGGGTAGCGGATGCAAAAATATGTCAAAGATACTTGTTTTGTCAGATGGATGGGAGAATCTTGGATAAATTCCCCTCAAAGTTTAAAGAACAATAAACAGAAACTTTATTTTCTTGTTTTCAAGAAAAAGAATTCACTTTCTTAGGCCTAGACAATTATCAGAAGGGATTTAACTTGTAGTAACATGTAACTTGTGTCACCACAGCTCATTCTATATTTTTGCAGCTTCACAAGTTAAATTATTTTGTGTCAGAATCAGATACAAACACCATCCCACCTCATTTGAGAGATACCAGCTTTGGTTTCCTACCTTTACATAGGATGTTATTTTTGCATTCTTGGGGTCCAGTATACTTGCAAGTAATATGCAACATTTCCAATTTAACATTAAGCATTGTTTTTTTGAAAGGGAAGCATAAAACAATTGAGGAAAAAATTGAGAAAAAATTTCCTTAAAACAAGGTGGCTGAGGAAGGAATATGAAAGTGCCATTCTCCTCTTCATAAATTATAGGCTGAAAATATTTGGCTTAAGAAGGTAGCAATAAGTAACACTTGAGTTTACTTTGAAATTTTTTAATTAGCATCAATGTCTCGGGCAGCAAATCTGGCTCATGATAAGGGTGTGATTTGTATTAAGCCAGATTAAAATCTCAGATCCCTGATTACAGCATCAATTGAAATTCTAACCTGAGTCAAGTAATCCTCTGCAAATAATTTCTAACTAGGTTATGGTCCAAGCCAATATTGTGTACCCTCGCGCTTTTGTTGTTCTGAATTTGGAACTGATTTTTGTAGTTTCGGGATTCTTTCCTTGTTTTTCAAAGAAAATTAATTAAAATTTAATTGTTAATGAAAATGAGAGTGAAAATCATCTAAGTCCTTGGTTCCTGGCATCTCAGTGGAGAAGCAGTATTTTTTTTTAATGGAAAGGTGACAGGTTCTAAGGACAGCCTGAACATAAAGCTCACCAGAAGAAATACATATATGGACTTACTCAACTGGGAGTTGACAGTACCCATTTCTGACGAAGGCTGTCACCAGCCACTTGCTGCTGGAAGGACCACATAGTAGCAGAGAAAGAAGTGGGTAACAGAAGGCTACTGTAAGCATGACTCCATGTGCCACTACAGTCTGTGGATGCAGGAAGACTTAGGAAAAATAATTCAAATGTTCGCCAAAAAAAAACGGCATTCTGTGAAAACAACTCTTACTAAAGACTCTCCTTATTCAAGATCCTTTGGAAATTATACAGGTCTTATCACAAAGCAGAGGATGGCAATGGAAGAACTTTAGGAGGGCAGTCCGTGTTGTGGCAACAGGAGAGCTCTTGGAAATGGAAGTGGCGTGGAGACCAGGGAGAAGAAAAGCACATGGCAGAAAATTGGTAGAGAGCTGGCCATATTTAACATGACACCGTAAAGACTCCATCTTCCTTCTTTCTCTTTTTTTTTTTTTTTTTAACCCCTGGAAATCTCAAATTTCTTGGATTCTGTTGTGAGAGGCCATTGACAGATCGCTGAAGTGCCTGCAAAACTATCTTGAGTATCGGCAGGGAGACATAAAGTTGTAAAGATTCATTAAAATCACAGTGTCTGGTTATATAGCCCTGAAAGCCACAATTTTGCTTAAAAACACAGATGAATACCAAGTCTCTTCTGGTGTCTGTTTTGGTATAAAGCATGTGTCTGAATTTTAAAATAAAGAGAATTTATTTCTGAAAAAAAAAAATACATTCTCTGAATTTACTTTATAGCTGAGCAGCAAAAAGAAAAAAGGGAGGCAAGGTCATCACAAAGCAGTGCAAGGAGAGGTTCATGCTACAGCCTTGAACAAAGCAAAACTTGACCCACTCAGAATAAAAGATGTATAAATCAACCAAAAACTAGTATAAATTAATACCTTTAATAAATTAATACCTTTAATACCTATAGGGAAGTCAGTTTTCATGCAAAGCAGAGCTCACTGCAAGTGTTTCCTGAATAGGGCTTGTTTCTGGAAACTAAAGACTTCTTAATCCCCAGTGAGTAAAAGTTAAATAAACAAATGCAGATAGCTTATCTGGCACTGCTGGACACAGGCCAGGGTGGTGCTTCCCCAGGCTGCTAGGGCTCTCCAGCTCATCTGAGTCCCAGGTGTGTGATAGTGCAGCAGTGCTGAAGCGATTCCTACGGGAATTCCCAGGACAATCTGCCTGATGATAGGCACCAGGAACCAGCAGTCCCCAAACTGGTTTAAATCCACGTAAGTAGCAAGCAGACGTTGTCGAGCCTGGCGTGACAGCCTACTGAGGGTGGCTGGACTCCCTCCAGTGTCCTCAACCACTGATCTCACCCATCCCCTGCAATGTCCCAGAAAGCTCCAAACATTATCTGCGTTCAAATAAATAACCTTCAGCCCTACCCACATTGCCTAGCTTAATGTTTTATAGCAGCAGTTGGCTATAACAATATGACCATTTCACTATGACAGGTGAAAACGCTGCCTGCCATGTCCTCCTAGGTCACATTCTGCTAGCAGCTGTACAGGCTTTAGGGTTTTTAACGATCTTTTTAACAGATTCTTTAGAAACTGAAGAAATGTAACATACCTCACTGGCAAGTTGATTACATATCAGTTGCTGTATTGTCAAATAGGATGGAGAAAATCACCTACTGCACGCAATACACAACACTGACTTTTGTTTAAGGGAAAACAAACACAAACTCTGGCCCAGCTCCAAGTCATTGGCCTTAGGACACTCTGGATCAGATCTGGCTACAACCAGATTGCAAACCATGTAACCCTCAGTAAAGGCTGGCTTATCATGAGATGATTGCTCTAATTCAAAACTGTTCACTCGTGTTTTCCTGAGAAACAGTCATTCTCCTATAGAAACCTCAATTTTTTCTTTCCAGGAGTACTAATCCAACTTGAGAGAGAAGTAGGGTACGGCCAACGCCTACTGTCATACCAAAACGGATGGTTTCCAATCTGGCCTTGGAGTGCTTCTCTTTCCTATAGATGTATAGTCGAATTTTGTGACCAGCAGGTTGAGGGAGGGGATTCTCCCCCTCTACTCTGCTCTGGTGAGAACCCACCTGGAGTGCTGCATCCAGCTCTGGGGCCCCCAGCACAAGACAGACATGGACCTGCTTGAGCAGGTCCAGAGGAGGCCATGAAGATGATCAGAGGGCTGGAGCACCGCCCCTGTGAGGACAGGCTGAGAGAGTTGGGGTTGTTCAGCCTGGAGAAGAGAAGGCTCTGGGGAGACCTTACAGCGGCCTTCCAGTGCTTAAAGGGGGCCTGCAGGAAAGGTGGGGAGGGACTCTTGATCAGGGAGGGTGGTGGTAGGATGAGGGGTAATGGTTTCAAACTGAAAGAGGGGAGATTTAAATTAGATATTAGGAAGAAGTTCTTCACTGTGAGGGTGGTGAGGCACTGGCACAGGTTGCCCGGAGAAGCCGTGGCTGCCCCCTCCGGTGGGATGGGGCTTTGAGCAACCTGGTCTAGGGGAAGGTGTCTCTGCCCATGGCAGGTGGGGCTGGAACTAGATGGTCTTTAAGGTCCCTTCCAGCCCAAACCATTCAATAATTCTATGGTTCTAGCTACTTTCTAGCTATGTAGAACAATATACAATTTGTAATCATCTTTCTTGCCATCAGTAGAAATGTGATTTTACATTTCTCACAGTGGCCTTGTTTGAAGTGTTTGGCCATAACTTGTCCAATCATATACCAAATAAATATTGTAGCTTCACCTTTAAGTCTTTCCTCCTAGGGCCAAGTATGCATTAAGTCATACCAAGGCAAATGACAGAAGAGTGTTAGAATATATAAATTAGCAGAGAGATGCCAACAGTGAGAAGGCAGTGTCTGAGCTTCCATGTTATCCTTCTTTTACTATCACAGGGAACAAAAATGCAGGAAGTGTAAAACGTGGTTTGTGCACCACCTTGATGTTCTACAGTACAGCTTCTCAGAAAGTCAGGTTTAGAAAAAAAGTAACTTCTGTGCAAAAAGGTAAAAGTCT